CTCCAGCATCCGCTCCTCCTCCTCCTCCTCCTCCTCCTCCTCCTCCTCCTCCTCCTCCTCCTCCTCCTCCCTCTTCCCGTGGACGCTGGTGCAGATGAGGGCCCTCCCCTTGGCGTCGTCTTTCCATAGCGCGCCCATGACATCGTCGAGGTGGTCCTTCGCGCTGGGATGCGGCAGGGCCTTGGGCCTGGTCGGCGCGCCTCTGAACCTAGTCCGAGCCCTTTGCTTGGCCACCTTCCGCGCGCACTCCAGGAGTGCGCCATGCACGAGCAGCTCCAAGTTCTTGTCGAACATGCCCCTCAGGTGGTAGCCGTGCCTCTCCCACCAGATCCCCCGGAGCGCCACGCTTGCCTTCTCGAGCGACCCAGCCTCTTCAAGCACGGCGTCCGTTCGTCGGACCAGCTGCTTGCCAACCCTTCCTGCACCGCGCTCCGGGAAATCTGGAAGACAATCGTAGTATACCCCCGCCGCCACGTCGCGCTCGGGCTTGGGCCCAACCTCGACCTCCCCCGCGCGGGTAGACTCCACTCTCCTACCTCCGTCGGCGTCTCCCAGGCAGCTGACCCCTTGGCGCTGGTACTCCGTCCCCCCTCCGTGCTCCTCCTTCCTGCCATTGCGGGTCCTCTTGACCCGCTGCAGCACCGTCGTAGCCGCGTGGTCGGCCATGTTCTGCGAGTAGGTATCGCTCCGCTTGGTGGCGGCCTTTCCCTCGACCGCGTCGCGCACGAGGTACGCACTGCAGCGCAGGTTCAGCGCCGCAGCGATGTTCTCAAACGTCGAGGCGATGCGCGTCGGCTCGAGGTGCATGCCGCCCGCGGTGCTGCGTAGGTCGAGGGCGCCCTCATCCCACCTCACCTGCCTCCAGATGGGTTCCTTCAGCACTGCCTCCAGTTGCCGCCGGGCCGCAGCGAGCCAATGGATCTCGGCCGAGCAGCCCCTGTGTTTGGCGGCGCGCTGGGCCGCGATCTTCTGGGCGGGCGCCAGAAAGATCGCACCTTCCCGTTCCACCCTCGACAGTTCGACTCTTCGGGGCTCGTTGGGCGCCACGAAGGCGCGGAAGGCCACGCATGCCCGGATGAACCAGGTTTCGTGCGAGTCGTAGAGGTCCACGAGCGCCAGCAGCAGCCGCTGGCCTTTACGTCAACGAAAGTCCTTCCCGCGCCGCAGCCCGATCTTATACTCGCGGCCTCCTTTCTGCGCCACCGCCTGCGAAATTCGCGCCTCGCCCGCGAAGATCTCGAGGAAATCGAGGCGATGCCCCTGCGGTGGCAAGGCCGCGGCCTGGGCCCCAAGCCAATCGCGGATCTCGTCGTCCGCGGGCTCGACCCGCGCCCCGCCCACCTTGCCGACCTCGACCTCTTCCTCGCCCTCTCCAACCTCGCCCGCCGTGGCCCGCGCCAGGAGCAGCGCGGAGTGGGCAAAGGCTTCCTCGCTCAGCAGCAGCCCGACGAGGAAGCCAGTCGTTGGTCTCCGGGTGACTGCCATGCCCGCTGCCTCCGCGCACCGCTGACATGCTAGCGCCCCTGGGTGCGCTGGAGGCGCCCTGGTCGCGGGCGCCAGCTCGAGCAGCGCCTCCCAGCCAAGGGCCGGCAGCTCCTGGACGTCGACCCCCGCGCCATGCACTGGCCCATGGTGCCGTCTGCCGGCGCGACGAGGGCCTGCGCGTGGCCCTTGCCAAGAAAAGCTCCGCCTCTCGACGCGCGAGCTCGGAGCCGATGACGTGCTCGACCGCGGCCCCGCCGCAGAAGTCCACGCGCGCGGCGCCCGCGGCCTTGCTCCCCAAGAAGCTCGACGGAAGCGCCGCGTACATGCGGTTGTCCTCGCCGCGGCCCCTGCGCGACAGGTCGCGGCAGATGTTGCGGAGGTCCGCCTCCGCCTGCGCGGGCAAGTCCGGGGCCTCGCCCAGGCCGCCCTCCGCGGACCTGGCTGCCGCCAGCATCTCCTTTCCGAACTTGAGGCCCCCCCCTTGGGCCTCAATCGCGGAGCCGGCTCGTTGCCGACCGCGTGCGCCGCCGCCGCGTTGAGGATGGCGCGCTCGCGAAGCTCGGCACTCGCGAAGCTCGATGTCCGGCGGCCCACCCTGCGTCGAGAGCTGCAGCCCGTCCAGCGCTTCGGTAGTCTCGGCGCCCAGTGCCAGCTTATCGCGGTACATGGTCCAGTCCAAGCCCGCCAGGGACAGAATCCCCCGGCCCAGCTCGCCTTCTGCCCCTACTTCGATGGGCCCCACCCTTCGCTTGACCGGGCGCCACCTACCCGACTTTGTTCTTCTGGTAGCGCTGCCGAAGAGAAACTTCCGCCGCGCCCGCCAGCTCTGGGCAGCCGAACTCGACGGCGTGCACCGCCAGCGCCACGACGTCGTGCGTTTCGTCCGCCTCCTTCCCTGAGGTTCGATACCGGTAAAAATAGCAGTTGCAGAACATATCTGCAAAAAATACCGGTTGTGAATCATATATGCAAGAAGTAGCAGTTATGCGCATTTTTATATCATGTTGAGCATATCTGTAAATTCATAAGAGTCCTAAGTCATATCTGCAAAAAAATAGCAGTTATAACCCATATCTGCAAAACATAGCAGTTATGGCAAATATATGTAAAACATAGCAGTTAACAGTCAGATCTGGAAAAATAGCAGTTATGACAAATATATTTTCTTAAAATAGCAGTTATGAATCATATCTGCATCATGGGCCGTCTCTGGGCCATCTTGAGCCGTCTTGAAGCAGTCTAGTGGGCCGCAGGTGAAACGACCCTTAAGCCTGCCCATCGAATCCGATGAGTTTCCGATGCACTACCAATGAGTTTCCGATGGTTTCCGATGAGTTTGCACTGCGTACGTATCAAATAATGCCCGATCACGTGGTACGTGTTGAACACTGCCGCGAGGCCGTCGGGTACACCGCTGCCCGTAGGCGGCGCGGGTTAAGACAATTAGGGACGCGGCTCGTTAAATAAACGGGCGCCGCGCTTAACATGAAAAAGTAAGTGAAACAGTGAGCGGGGCGAGAGCGTCATTTTGAAAGTACCCGCCCCCCATCCGTGTAGTTGTTCACTGCCCCAGATGCCCCGAACCCTACTGAGGAGGAGGACGGGCGAGGAGGAAATGGCGGAGGAGGAGGAGGAGGACGGGGGCGGACGGCGCGGAGGCGCCTCGCGCGATCAAGGTTGAACGCGCTACGGGGGCCCATCTCGGGCCCCAGTGCTCGCGGGCACGGGGCCGCGGCGCGAAATCTCGATGTTCGGGGACGAACGCCCCGCGCGGTGTCGGAAACCATCGTCCGACGACGACGACGACGACGACGACGACTCGCGAGGCGTCGTCGTCGTCGTCGGCGTTCTGGCTCGATCGATCGCGATCGGCGTTCTGGCTCGATCGAGCATGGTGGGCTATTTCGAGGCCACTAGGAAGGTCAACCTTCCTCCGCGCGCCCAGTTGGCGCGCTTCCGCGGGGCGCGCGCGATGGCGCCCTTCGAGGTTGCCACGCCGCCCGCGACCCCGCGCGCGGGGAAGTCGGCGGAGCCGCCGACGCCCCCGACGACGGCGGCGGCGTCGGCGGTGGAGAGCGCGGCCAGCTCGGCTGCGCCCACGCCGCAGCCAGAGACGGCGCAGGAGACGGCCTCGCCGCCGCCAGAGACGGCGCAGGAGACGGCCACAGAGGCCATCTCTACTCGTCGTCGTCGTCGTCGTCGTCGTCGTCGGCGGCGTCGTCGGCGGCGTCCTCCCCCGTCGTTCCGGCACCGATGGCGACGACGATGACGACGACTACGACGACCACCCATGGGTGGTCGTCGTAGTCGTCGTCGTCGTCGTCGCCGCCGCCGCCGCCGCCGCCGTCGTCGCCGTCGTCGCCGTCGTCGTCGTCGTCGTCGTCGTCGTCGTCGTCGCCAGGCTGCCGACGACGACGCGACGCTGGTGCCCGCGAACGAGACGCTCGAGCAGGCGTTGGCTGGTGTCGTGGACCGCCGCCGCCCCGCGCGGAGGGGGGGCTCAGGGGTGGGGGGCTCGCCGACCCCCCCCGTCGTCGACTATCTTCCGGTTGGGATCCGATGAGTCTCCGACGAGTTTCCGATGAGGTTTCGATGAGTTTCCGAAGAGTTCACGATGAGTTCCCGATGGGTTTCGATGAGTTCCCGATTAGTTTACGATGAGTTTCGATGAGTTTCCGAAGAGTTTCCGAAGAGTTCCCGATGAGTTTCCGATGAGTTTCCGATGAGTTTCGATGAGTTTCCGATGAGTTTCCGATGAGTTTCGATGAGTTTCCGAAGATCGATCCGATGAGTTCCCGATGAGCTCCCGATGAGCTCCGATGGGGCCCTGGACGGGGCCCTGGATGCATTCCTGGAGGGAGTTTCGGTGAGTTTTGAATCCGCAGCGCCCCGATCTATGTGTCCGTAAACGTTTTGGCTCCACAAGTTCAGTGGGCACCAGCTGCCAGATGCCATACCCGACGCTCGGCCCTATCCGACGATCGGCTCTACCGTATGGCTGATGATGGCGCCAGCGACGGGTCCGAGTCGACCCGCGCCGTGTGCGCGGACGTGGAGTTGCTGACCAAGGTGCTGCGCCCTGTCATGACGAAACCAGATTTCGTGGTGTACAAGAGCGACCACTCCTCCTTCCCTGTGTCCAGCGACCAGGCGCCCTTAAGTGCCGACGCTGCGGTGCTCGTCGCGCAGTCGATCAGGCAGCAGGCAGCGCCGAACTTGAGCGTCGGCAAGGTCGCGTGCGAGAACGCGATCGAGTTCTTGGTCACCGAGAAGGCGAAGACAGGAAAGCCGCCCTGGAGTTTGTTCGAGGGCGATTCCAAGAAGCGCTACGTGAGGGACATGACGGCTAGGGTGCGCACGCTGCGCATGCACGCGGGGTCCTTCTACCGCCGCAAGCTCGGCCCCCCTCAGTGGTACAAGGCCGTCATCGCGGAGCAGGGCTACACCGACGGCATCAACCTGAACGAGGATCAGGACGAGGAGGAGGACGACGCGGACGAGGAGGACAGCGCGCCCGTCAGGCGAAGGCCGTCAATGCGAGGAGGTTCAGCGGCAGGGGGCGAGGACGAGCCCGAGGGCACGGGGGCCGCGAAGAGGAGGCCCGCCGCGGCCAAGCCTGCAGGTGACAGCGCAGGTTCCGAGGTGCAGTACGTCTACAAATTCGACGAGAACAAGAACTCGGCAGTGCGCACCCAACCGAGCACGCGGCGGGCGGAGCTTTGCGACAGCTCGCGGTCATCCGACCAGGGCGGATTCACGGTTGCCACGTGGGCCGATGGGAAGGAGCGGCGCTACCCAGAGGCGCTGCATCAGCAGAAGGAGAAGCCGAAGAGCGCCAAGAGTGGGCTTCCTTCTAAATACTTACCTGACGGCTCAAAGGTCTACGTCGAGCTGAAGAGAGATCGGGATCCGAACCACAAGCTCATCCTCATCATGCGCAAGCTCAAGGACGGCACCAAGGAGCAGCAGACGCAGGCGACCACCAGGCACTTCGACCACGAGGAGCATGGCGTCAAGGTGATGACCGAGCGGATCTTAGAGACGTTCGTCCGCGACCCGAAAACTACGAAGCAGCAGGCGATGGCGGCGAAGATGGACCTCCTCAAGGAGATCAGAAGTTGGCCAAGCAGGAGGCCGATGCGGCGGCGGCGCCCAAGCGGGGCGCTGCAGCTCGCAAGAGGCCCGCCGCCGCTAAGCCCGCCAACGAGAAGGCGGCGGCCTCCGACGCCGAGGCGGCGTCGGGCAACGACATGGGCGAGAACGCCGAGGCGGCTTCGGACAGGGAGGTCTACACGGCAGGAGAGGGGGAGGCAGACGCTGCTGCAGGAGGCGCGCCGTCCACTCCCGAGCAGAAGGGCAAGGGCAAGAAGCGCGCCGCACCAGGCAAGATCTCGACTTCGAAGGCCCCCATCCAGCGCATCGGCATCGAGAAGGGCATCACGGGCGCCAAGGCTTCCAAGTCCGCGCAGGGCACCTCCCCGCAGACGGCCATCAAGGGGCCGACGGGCACGCTCATGGGGGACGCGCGCAAGCAGCTGGCGGAGGATGACTCGTCGGACGGTGCCGAGTAGACTGACGGGCTCCGACTTCAGAGAGCCACGGTCGGAAAACATGTAGCCCACTCCGCCCTGGCCTCTCGGACCCCCGCCCTCCGCGGCGATCCGACTCCCTCGACTCAGCGATTGCGGGGGTCGCGAGGATAACTCAGCGCATGACGCGACGTGGCAGTGGAGATAACCGCGACGAGTTTCCGAGGTCGCGAGGATAACGTTGCGCATGGCACGGCGTGGAAGCGGAGATAATCGCGATGAGTTTCCGATGAGTTCCCGATGAGTTTCGATGAGTTTTCCCCTCGGCTCCGATGCGTTTATCGATATATATATATACACATATGTGTGTGCCGGCGAGCCCCCCACCCCACCGCCTGATATGGGAAACTTCATTGTCGGCGTCGTCGCGTCGTTGTTTATTGTTATTCTTGTTATCGCGTCAACATCTGACATCCTACCCCTCCCTCCCATCCCTTCCCATTGCGCTACTTACTTGTCCTCTCACCGAATCGGGTGTCGCATCTGACCCTCATGCATAGCAGGAAGAGGAGGAAGGATGCCTAGGGCGTTGCTCACGGCGGGTTCTCCTGGAGGCCTGGCACCTCGGGCTGCACTCGGCGGGCGGGTTCACCTGCGGGCCTCAGTCCTCGTGCGGGTTGCCCTCGGCGGGCGGGTTCTCCTGCGGGCCTGGCACCTCGTGCGAGTTGTCGGGGTCTGTCGCCTCAAGCGGGTCCTCTGGGGTGTGGGGCGACAAGAGCGGGTCCTCTGGCGTCGGTGGGATCATGGTGTAAGTGGGTGACGTCATCACGCCACTGGCCCAGCGCCTCAAAGGCCTCGCGGGGCTCTCGCCTTGCTCCTGGAGCGCCGAAGCCTGCGAGCGCGGGCTGCTCGTGTCGGGGTCGAAGCTGCCGCCGCTCTTGCCCTTGCCCGTCGAGCTGTCGCCGCTCTTGCCCTTGCTCTTGTTCTTGCCCTTGTACGTGAGCAGATCTGCCGCCACCACGTCGGCTTCTGTGATGTCGTCGGTGTAGCGCTTGTCGTGCAGCCACGATGGGAGACGGCTCAAGAGGCTAATCTCGTCCTGTGACAAGATGCTGTGCTTGTCCTTGCCCTTCTGCTCGTCGCTGTTGCCCTTGCCCTTCTGCTTGCCCTGCTGCGCGTCGTCGTCGCCCTTCTGGCCGTCTGTCACGAACTGGCAGGGCTGTCCGAGCTTGATCGGGCAGCTTTCACTTGGCCTCCCAGAGACACCCTGGTAGACTCCGCAAATCAAGCATGCGAGTGCCGAGCTTGATGCCGACCGTGATGCCGACCGTGGGCAGTGGCCGTCGTTGGGGCCGTCGCCGTCGCCTTCGTTGGGCCCGTCGCCCGTCTGGCTCTTGAGCACTCTGCGGTATTTGAGCGCGTGCGGGCTCCAGGGCTCCATATCAGGCGCGCGTGGGGCCCAGGGATCTAGTAGCCGAAATAGATACGGACGGCAGGCTCCGCACCGAGGCGAGAGCGCCCCCTCGGAACGGCCGAAGACGGTCCGAGTGGCCTCCAGCGGTCGCTCGGGACGATGCGGGCGCCCTCAGACTTGCCTCCAGCGAGGCGCGGCAGTGGGGGGGGGCACCGAGACATCCTCGATCCTCGATTCTGTGTTTCGGTTGTTGCCTTTCGGGGCCTCCTGGACCCCCTCGCGCCTACGGCTGGATCCGCCTCGCAATTCAAATCGAAGCGCCCTCCTGGGAAACAACTCGAGCCTCGATCCTCCATCATCGACTCTCGAGTTTGACGGCCGTTTCGGGCCTCGAGGGGCCTCCTCGTGCCTACGGCTGGGTCCGCCTCGAAATTGAAATCGACGCGCTCCTCGGGTAAAAAACACCTCGGGTCTCGATCCTCGATCCTCGACTCTCGAGTGTTTCTGTCGTGTTGGTAGTATTGATGGAGGGGAGGGAGCATCCCCCTCGCCGATACAGGACGGCCTGCACGTCGAGGACTTGCCCGACCGCCAGGACAGCTGGTCAGAGCGCTGGGCCCGCAGCACGGACGGTGCAGGCGAAAGCTGCCGTGGGAAGGGGGTGAGGTGGCGAGGAAGGAGGTGAGGGTTAGGAGGTTGATGAAGGGGGAGGGAATGAGGGGTGGGGAGGAGATGTGGAGGGCTGAGACCGCCCCTTCCTCCCGCCCGATACTCGGGTGGGGGGTTCGGACATGGGTGCGTGGGGGGGGTCGTGGCGACGGTGGTTTTCGCCGTCGACAGGACACCCCGCGTGCGGATGAGGGCGCTGATGCACGCCTGAATCATCGTCGGCGGCAGCGGCATCGTCGGCAGGACCAGCGCTGGACGGCGTGGCGAGCATCGGCCTGCAGCGGGCGAACCTCGGGGCCATCGGCCTGGCCCAGGCCGACACCGCCGCGCTGGGCATCACGCAGATCGACGGGGCGGCGATCGGGCTGGAGCAGGCGAACCTCAAGGGCCTCGGCATCAGCCAGCTGGGCGACACCGCCGCGGGGCCGAGCGGGGCGTCGGTAGGCGCCTCGCTGCCTGAGAACCCGTCCGAGGGCTCAGGCGGGCTGCAGCTCGGCTTCCTGGCGAAGAGGCTCAACGAGTTGGCGAAGGGCTGCGAGACGCCGCCCGCGACCAGGGCGCAGGAAAGCCCCGACGACGAGCAGCCCGATAAGGTGATCGAGGAGGCGTGGAGGACGAGGATCGCGAAGTCGAGGACGGCGATTGCCAGCAAGTACGACCGCTTCAAGAAGGGCAGCGCAGAGGAGCAGGCGAAGTACAAGAATGCGCAGGGCCACATCGGCAAGGAGAACTGCATCCTCGAGTGGGTCGACAAGCAGTGGAACGCCTACCAAGAGCGCAGGTTGGGAGCGACGACGACGACGACAACGATGACGACGACTACGACGACCACCCATGGGTGGTCGTCGTAGTCGTCGTCGTCGTCGTCGCCGCCGCCGCCGCCGCCGCCGACAGGTCTAAGAGGAAGACCAACACGGAGGCCCACCTGGAGTGGGGGACCCACGAGCCGTTCGAGGTCATCGCAGGCAAGGAGTCGGGGGTCGGCATCACAGAGACGGGGGCGATGGCGGCGTTGAACACAGCCTTGGCGTGCCAGAAGCTGGGGTACCCCTGGGTGCAGTGGAACAGCTTCACCAAGCGCGCCGAGTACCTCTACTGCAAGTCGGGCTTCAAGAACAAGTTCGAGACGGCGTGGACGCAGTGCCAGGAGCAGACGGGCGTGCAGGACGACCTGGCGCTCGACTTCCTGAAGGGGGGGGGGGGGGCACGACGCGCTGGGCGGTGGCCAGCCGAGCCAGGCTCAGACGGGCGCAGCCGCGCAGCAGGAGAGCGAGGCCAAGCAGCAGGCGGCGGACGAGAAGAAAGCCGCCGCCGTTGCCAAGCAGAAGGAGGCGGAGGCGACGAAAGCAAAGGAGGCGGAGGAGAAGCAAGCAAAGGAGGCGGAGGCGAAGGCTAAGGCAGCGGTCAAGGCCGCTGCAAGGAGCACCAAGCGGACGAGGGGCGACCGCGGCGGCACGGCGACGCCGCCACCTGAGCCAGCTGGTGACGACGCTCCCCACCCGAAGCAGGCCAAGAAGGACGCGAAGAAGAAGCTCGACGACTTTCGCACGCTGATCAGCCTGTACGGACAGGAGCTCACGTCTGGCAAGATGATCTTGCGCAACATCGGCACGGTGGCATCGTGGGAGCCCTTGGCGGACGAGAGGATGAGCGGTGATCTCCGCAGGGCAGTCGAGGCGCTGGAGAACACGAGCACCACCAACGCGCTCGCGGCGCAGCTGGTGACGCAGAAGTTCGACGCAGTGAGGGCATACGTCGGGGAGGCAGATTTCGACAAGCAGATCGACCAGATCACGTCGATCCTGAAGCCCAAGGTGGATAAGCTGAACGCAGAGGTGGACGCCTTGAACCAGATGCACGCTCTGGTCGTGAAGAAGGCACAGGGCGGCAGGTAGTCGGAGGCAGCCTTGACGACGGCCTCTTGACGAGGCCTCTTGACGAGGCCTCTTGACGTTCGGCTGCAGAGCGGTCGATTCGCCCGCCGACCAGTGCCGCGCAGTTAAGGAGGGGAGAGTTGGGAGGAGAGGAGGAGGAGGAGGAGGAGGAAGGAGGAGGAGGAGGAGGGAGGTGAGGAGGAGAGGAGGAAGGAGGGAGAGGAGGAGGAGGAGGAGGAAGAGGGGAGGAGGGAGGAGGAGGAGGAAGGAGAGGAGGAGGAGAGGAGGAGGAGGAGGAGGAGGAGGAGAGGAGGAGGAGGAGGAGGAGGAGGAGTGAGAGGAGGAGGAGGGGAGAGGAGGAGGAGGGAGAGGGGGAGGGGGGGGGAGTCCCCATTGGGGGAAGGGGGAGGGGAAGTACGGGGGGGAGGGAAGGGAGGAGGTGGAGGCGAAGGGGGCGGCAAACCAGAAGCTGGCGGCGGGCCCGCGATTCGGGGTACACTGAACAGCCTGCTGCGGTGAGACAACAAGCGCTGTGTAGGGGAAAGCTCGATCGGATGCGAAAATCTCGGACCGGATGCGAAAACTCTGAACTCGAACCCGATCGGACCGAACAATTCGGGCCCGACCGCGATCGGAGGCGACGAAACCACCGATGAAATACCGGTGAGTTTCCGGTGAGTTTCCGATGAGTTTTGATGAGTTTCGCTCAAACACTATAAATTCACAGGGATTGTAGCGATGAGTTTCCGATGAGTTTCCGATGAGTTCTGATGAGTTTTAAATATTCAGAATTTTGTGTTGCGCCACTCCGATCGCGGTCGGGCACCCCCCGTTTCGGTTCGGAGACGCCTCGGGTGGTCAGTTTCGGTTTCGGGTGCGCTTCGGGTGGATCTGGCACGGGCCCGAGGGGTCGCCGCGGCACCTCGGCGAGGCGCAGCTGTCCGTGGAGCGCCCGTTTCGGTTTCCAGGGCGTCTTGGGGGCGCTGGTACGGGCCCGGCGGCTAGTAGTTGCAGCGCCAGGGGGCGGGGTGCAGGGGCCCGTAGGGTTCGGCTCGAGGGCGGGCTCCCAGTTCCCAGGATACACGCGCCAGGCGTCGTAGCACCATGGCTGGGGAATCGCGGGGCGAAGACTGGCAGGCCGAGCAATTGAGAGCAGCTGAACGCAAGCAAGCAGGCAATGACTTGCTTAATTATATTCTTGCCATGTATGCAGGGTCGAGGCCAATGACAGCAAAGGACGCTTGCATCATAAGCTGGTTCGCTAAGGAAGCTGGTTGCGAGGGCGGCGTGTGTGACCTCGCTCTGCACCCGAAAAAACACAGGCGGCACGTATCAGAGAAAAATGGACTCAACGATTCCCCGAAAGCAAGATAGCGAATACTACTGGTTGGACATTCCAATATATCAGAAAGGTGTTGGTAGGACAACCCAGAGGATCCCCATGCTGCCATTGCATGAGTCGTTGCAACACGAGTGTGAAACTACTCGGTCCCTGGACCCTGGGCCCCTGACAAATGATGCGGATTTTCAGGAGTGGCAGCAAATCTACAGGTGGCACCCTGGCGTTCGCGCGTGCAGGCCAGATGTCCCGCTTTTGTTACCGCTGTACGCCGATGGTATTCGTTTCACTAGGAGCGAGCGAACTGGAAAAGCAGACTCGCTGCTGGGTTTCTTTATGCATTTAGTACCGCAGTCGCGGAGACATTCGGTCGCATTCTTAGGGACATCTGAATTCTGCAGGTGCGGGTGCCGAGGGTGGTGTAGCCATTACCCTGTCATGCTCGTGATAGCATGGTCGATGCGGGCGTTGATTGACGGCCGATACCCCTCGGCCATGCACGACGGCTCACCGTTTGTCACGGGTGATCACAGGGGTGATTTGGCGGGCATGCCTCTCAGGAAAGGCGTTGTGGTTTGGATGAAAGGCGACTTAATGGAGCAGGCTGTCACGTTCGGTTTGCGGGGTTTGGGCAGCATGTTTTCCCCGTGTTTTATGTGCAATTCGCTGCTCGAGAATTTACATGACTATGACCCTGTTGAGTTGGACAGTGACCACTGGGGCCAGAAGTCAGATTTGGATGATTACGAAGTTTCCTGTCAGCGGCTTGAACACGTCGTTGTGCTTCACACCGAAGCCGATCGACTTAAGGCGACACCGACGCGCAAGCGCGGCCACGCAAGGTGGCCCCCGAGAGCGCGCGGTCGCGCCACGGAGCGCGCGTGGCGGAGAGGGTTGCGACGGGGTGGCGGGTGGCAGCGTTCTCGGGGGTTGCCCGCCGCGGTCGCGCAGGCGCGTCGGTTTCCGACAAGGTTTTTACTGAGGGTAGGCTTTACTGGGATCGGCGGAAATCTGGATCCCGTGGGAGGGCGCTCCTAAACGATGTTCCGTCACTAGGTCTCAAAGCTGGTGATCGATTGACGCCGTCCGAGCAATTGTGCGATATCGGCGATTTCTCCGCTGCCTCGTTGCCCCTGGTCGTGAGGTTTTGGCGCGCGACCTATCGCGGTCAGGCTTGCATGGACCCACTGCTGAATTGCAGCCCAGTGTTTTCGCCCGCCCTGTATACGTCACCATCCCTCACGTTCGCGTTAGACGTGCTCCACATTCTGTACCTGGGAGTTCATGGCCGTTGTATATCCGCAGTGATATGGGCAATTCTGGATGTGAATGTTTTCGGGATCCCAGGGCCTCATCAAGACGCCGTTGTCCCAGCCTCTCTGGAGAGGCTCTCGGGCATGCTGAACGATTGGTATGACGACACGGATGTGCCGCAAAACTACAGAGTGCATGAGCTACCAGTGAGTATGATCGGCACGAGGGACTTCCCAGGGCTAAAAACAATGGGGTCCGAAACAAACGCGACCCTCCCATGGGCTTTCCATTTGTGCGAGACGTTTTCTGCCAGCATGGGGAAAGGGTTTGCGCTCGCTGAGGCGTGCAGAAATTTGCTGGCGTTCATGCAACTCCTGAAGGCATCGCCCACCATCGTCTATAGGGAGACGGGGTCCATGCTGCTGGACCTGCGCAAGCAGCACAACCATTACATGGCAGAAGCAGACGTCCCCCACTTGTTCAAAAACCATTTTTTGTACACCTCGTGCGCCGTTCCTTGAGGCACGGCAACCCGCTTCGGTGCGCCACGTTTCTGGATGAATCGTTGAATCTGCCAGCGGCAGTGGCTGCCTCGAGCGTGCATCGGTCAAATTGGGAGAAACGGCTCTTTGAACGCGTGTCGCTGCAGGGGAATATGGCGGTTGGCCAGCATCGTTTTTTTTTTTTTTCTACGGCGGCGGGGCGTAGCCAGCCCCTCGCCATCGCGCGGGGCATGCTCGGCGCCGATGTGGCATAGGCGGCGCGATTGGCTCTCGCGAAGACATGGGGAGGGAGGGCGGGAACCACGACCACGATTCACAAACCATCCCCCCCCTCCCCCTCCGTTCGGGGTGATTCGAGGCGCGCTTGCGCGCCGACACCGCCAGACCCCGACGAACGCGGGCGCGCGTGAGGAAGCCACAAGCGAGAGCGTGATTTCTCGTCGGAGTCCCGATCACCATAGGGAGGCGACGGCTTGCGGCGTTCAACGCGTGGTGGGCCGCCCCGCTGCGTTACAGCACAGCGGTTGGTCCTCGGACCGACGCGTTGTCCGCATGGTGCTCCTCCAGCCCCCCGTGCACTTTGCATTGCGTGGTCGCGCAGCGTCAAGCAAGAGCATCATTTTGAGACGGAGCCGCCCCCCACCCATGTAACCGCTGCAAACGCTTAAGAAGAATGCGCGCGGCACCAAAGCGAGAGCCCCATGTTCAAAACCAACCGCCCTCTCCCGATGAGTTTTCGATGAGTTTCCGATGAGTTTTGATGAGTTTCGGATCGGTGGCGCAAATAATCGCGCTGCATGGGCACAGCGACGTCGATGTGTTTCGAGGCGGGCGCTCGGGCACTCCAGCCCAGGCGGGCTCGTGGACATGGCTTGCCCTACCATTCGTCGAGCTTCCCAGGTGGCCTGGGCCAGCGTTGCCCGCGGTGACGTTCTGGCTCAAGCACGCGTGCATCGGCAGGCAGAGCGTTGGCCGAGTGCTGGCGCCGCGTCGGGGCCGCCCTTACCCATTGGCCATGAAGCGGCCAGCCGCTGCCATGAAGAGGCCTGGCGCCGCGTCCACCGCGGTTGGCGTCCCATGTTCGTTCGAGGCGATGGCGGCGCAAGCTGGTCTCTCCGACAGCGCATCGCAGGGAGAGATCATCAGGGTGGCTGAGGCGCTGACACGGGAGTTCTGGTCGTGCCCTCGCTATATGGGCGCAGCGGGGATGTTCAGCGGAAGCGGCAGGCTCGCGCGCTGGATGAGACGGGCTGGCCTCCAGTGCCCAGAGTTCGACAAGTACGGAAGGGGCGAGTCGGAGGGCGTCTGCACCCTCGCTGGCATGGCCTTTGCGTGTCGGATAGTGCTGAGCATCAAGCCGAAGTGGACGCTCGTGATTGCCCCTCCGTCCCGTGAGTGGGCAGGCGACACGCTGCGCATCAACGGGAGGGACGACCTCGTCAATGGCAAGATATCGGCCGAAGGCATGGAGGCGAACGACCTGGCGCTCGCAGTCGCGCACTTCATCGCCATGTGCGTCGTGAGGGATGTGTTCTTCATGGTCGTGATGCCGTTCGACTGCCAGTCGTTCTTCGAGTACCCAGCGGTCAACAGCGCCCTGCGTCTGGGCCGCGCCGCCATCACCACGACCTACCAGGGCAATTGGCAGAGGATCTCTACGAACAAGAGGACGCTGGTGAGCTCGAACATCGCCGAGGACAAGATGGCCAGGCTTCTGTGCGAGTGCCCCCTTCCAGACTCGACCCACATCGACGAGGTCAGTTCGTGCGGGAGGGGCGTCGTCAAGTGGAGCGACGGCACCTACGAGCTCAACGAGTGGACGTTCTTCTACGACGGCTTCGCGAAGGAGCTCGTGGCGGTGGTCGCGGCAGCCGCCGAGTTGCCGCATCCAGTGTTCGAGGCAGTGTTGGTCAATGACTCGGAGTCGGACTAGTGCTTGCGCCGCCCGAGAGTGCACGCTGTGCGATCCGTCGCCGATGCGGCCGCGTGCTGCAGACAGCGTGCCATCCGTGCACGACCGAGTGCGTCTCACCGAACGCAAGCTCTCCTCCAACTCGAGATTCAATACGCGCTTGCGCGCTGACTCCGTCGACGGCCAATGGTCCGACACGTTGGAGCGGCGACGGGGCGATCGACAGCGTTCGAAACTCCTACCAGAGCGACGGAAATCGGCGCGGCACGGTCGAGATGGGAGAGTAGCATTCATATTGAGTAATTGTAGGAGAAGGAGGAGGATGATAACAGGAGAAGGTGGATGAGGAATGCGAGGGGGAGGGGGATGGGGGAAGGGGGAGGGGGACGGGGGAGGGGCGGGAGCGTTCGGGAGGGTGAGCGGGGGAGAGGGTGAGAAGAGACGCACGCCCCCCCCGCTCGGCCAGCTTGGGGCGGGCCGTGGATCCAGCTCTCGGTCCTCCTCATCTCCCCCCCGCCCTCCCCTCCTCTTCCTCCTCGACCTCGCCACTTTCCTCTTCCTCGCCTCATCCTCCTCATCTCCCTCATCCTCGTCCGCCTCCTCCTCCTCCTCCTCCTCCTCCTCCTCCTCCTCCTCCCTCTCCCTCCTCCTCCTCCTCTTCGCCCTCCATATCGTTCCCGTTGTCGGCCCCGCCATCTGTCTCGCCCCATCGCTGTTTCAAGCCCAGGCCCAATGAAGCGGGAACGCTCGGAGACCTCCCCCCCGACGCAGCCCCAGGTCGGAGAGTCCGCAGCCCCAGCCAGGGGCTAAGATTAGCTTTAGATGGGCGTGTGACGCGTGGCACCTGCCCTGGGTCGATCGCTTCGAGGTGACTCGCTCGCGGCCGCTGACCGAACAGGAAACTGATGACTAATAGCGACGACCACGGTCACGATCACGACGGCGACGGCGACGACGTGACCCCATAGGAAACAACAACGCTATATCGCCCCCGCCCTGCTCTACTGCGCCGCCCGTCGTACCCGCTACCAGGGGCCACAGTGTACGGTGGCACGGCTCATTTTGACATCATCGACGGGGTTCCAATCTTGCTCAGTCCCGAGGAGAGGGCCAGGTGGACTGCTATGCAAATGCACGACTATGCCGAACGTGAGCACATGGCCGAACATATCGAATGGCACCGTACCCGAGAAGGCATATACGGTTTGGTTTGGGACGCAATCGATGATTTCCACGCTGAGCTGATTAGGAAGTGGGGGCCCGAATTAGAGTCAGAATTACTTGGCTTCGTTCGAGCTCTCGAACATGATATGCCAGATTTCTCACCGAATCAGGGGCTGGGTGGAGGCGGCGCCGCCTCGAGTCATAGCGCCCCGCCCTAGGAGCAAACGGCGCGTGGAACGGGTCGCGGGTGGAGGAAGACGCGTTTGGAATGCTGGGCAAGGGAGCTCCCGTTGCCACCGCACTCGACCCCCGCACAAGTCCAAACACATCTCCCTCCACCTGCGACCCTTTCCTTGCGCCGCCCCCGCGTGCTCGGGTGCGACCACCGTCTCGAAAGCTGGCGCGGGGCTGAAAACAACTCTGATGCGCCCCTGGGTCCATGGACTCGGCGACGAGAATCAGATTCACGCGCGCTCGGGGCCGCCCAGGTCCAGACCTACTCACACTCGGGCTCACTCGCACTCAGTTCAGACCGCTCGAATGTATATCCACTCACATTGGGACTCGCCCATGTTCAGGCCCGCTCACACTCAGGCACGAGCATCGGAAACTCATCGAAACTCATCGGAAACTCATCGGACGTCAACCGAAACCTCCACCATCGTCGCAATAGGGGCGTCGGCGGACACGCGTAGCGCAACCCATTTGAATCGGGACGAAAGTTTTCCCAGTGGCCGTGAAGCCGAACACGCTTATAAGTATCGGGCGGACCGAGGCGCCTCGGGCAAGCCGAGGCGAAAACGAGCGCTGCCAGGCGCCCACGAATACCGTATCGCTGGTGTAGGCGCTGGCGTCGGCGCTGGCGTTCGCGCTGAAGGTGCTGGTGTAGGCGCTGATGTAGGCGCTGGCGCATGCGCTGGCGTAGGCGCTGGAGGCGCTGCAGGCGCTGGCGTTCACGCCGTCTACGGCCACTTAGCGGTACTGCTCGCCTGCGTCCTGCCACGACGCCGCGCTGTCCAGGGACTGCGTATTGGCCTCAGCGTCCTGGTCCTGCTGGCTGCTGCGCTGGTCCTTCTGAGCCTGCTTCGCCTGGAGCCCCGCCGCGTAGCCGATCTTGTAGATGTCGTCGACGTTCAAGCCCTCGATCTCGCCCAACGTCATATTCGTCTTGAAGGCCTTCGACGCCACCCAGTCCTTGATGCTGGCGTCGCTCGCTGGCGTCGAAATTTCGATACTGCTCTGCTGCTGGCACCGCCCTTGGTTGTAGCCCTCGTCCTCCGTCGCTGGCTTGCCCACTGTGGGTGGCTCCGTCGCCTGCTGGTCCGCCGTCGCCTGCTGGCCATCAGTGGGCCCGCCCGTGCTGCTCTGCTCGTTCTGTTCAAAATTGCAAGAAAGTGGATACGTGACGTTCATCACGAGCGCCGGCCTGTCGTTGATGATCCAGTCGTCGCTGAGCGGGTAGTTGTGGCGCAGCTCGGGAACACGTGGCATAGCATCCCCTGGGCGGGGCATCTTCACCAACCAGAAGTCGATGTTGCCGCCCTCGTCAATGAAGCTGAGCGAGCGCTTAGCCTCCTTCTTGGTCTCCTCGACCGTCGGGAACTCGCCAGCGCACGAGCCCGTCGTCATCGTTCTCACGTAGAGCGGGAACCAGCTGCCCTGATTGCCCCACTCGTGTGTGAAGATTGGCACCTTCATCATTTTCTGGTCCTCCTGCAGAATCCAAGCCGCCATTGCGCTGGTGCTGCGCTCGGTGCTGCTGGTTGCGCTGGTGCTGCGCTGGTGGTTGCGCTGGTGCTGCGCGAGGTGCTGCTGGTTCTCGTCGCGCGCGAACCTGCTGCTGGTCGCGCGAAAGGCTTGGGCCAGAACGGATGCGGGAGGACGCTGGACGGGGGCTCCACTGGGCTCGGCACTAGCCTACACCGCATTGCATAGCATAGCATCGCGACGACTACGCACCGCCCCGAAACTCATCAAAACTCATCGGAAACTCATCGGAAACTCATCGCAGAACGCGCTCGCACTCGGACTCGCTCACACTCTGACCCGCTCACGTCCAGGCGCGCACTCGACGCCCTCAGGCCCGTTCAAACCCGCCAACGTCAGCACGCAGACTCATTCACGTTCAGATCCACTCTAAACTCAGAACTGCGACCTACCCGATGAATACTACTCCCCTCCCTCCCCCACCCTATTTAATTAATTTAATGTTTACTTCCGAACTGTTTAGAGTGCTCTGCGCGCGCGCGAGATTAATATTTCGCGCGCGCGCAGCGGGCTCTAGCACCTTCACGACCTAGAATGGGAACCAGTGCGCGACGGCAGCGCCGATGAATGCCGATCACGCGCCACGCTATGCTATGCGACCTCACTATTTTAATGTTGCGCGGTGCCCGCAAGCGTGGGAGCACCCGCGGACTGCACTTCTCTGCAGAATTGAAGCCGTCGAGTTCTGGCTGACGGATGGCATCCCAGATTACAACACTCACTGAACTGAACGTTTGGAAAAATGATAGTTTTCAAAATGTAGCTCCCGTCTTAGCGCCGCGGACATTCCTACCGCCTTAGCGCCGCGGACATTCGTAGTTACATGCATGGACATGATCAAGGTATATCTGTTAATCCTAGATATATATGTTAATCCAAGATATATCTGTTAATCCAATATATATATATATATGTTAATACAATATACATGTTATACTATATGTATTTTTTGCATGTGTCATCATATCTGATATTTTTTTGCAGTTGCAACATATATCTTTAATATATGTTGGCGTTGTGTCCATCATTGACAACATGATCATATCTGCATTTTTTGCAGTTGCCGCCATATCTGTATGTTTTGCAGTTGTAAGGCGCACCTTTAATTCTTATAGGTTTAGAACCTCAGGGTTCGCCGCTCGCACTCGGTCACGGAGGCAACAGCCCAACAGGCCCGTCACCGTTGCCGCGCGCTGGGGGGAGAGGTCGGTGCCAATGCCGTGCATGACGTCCTTCCTGCGCGCCAGCTCCGGCGTGGAGTCCGGCAGCGGAGCCCTCTGCTCCTTGGCCTGGCGGCGGTTGGCAAGCCACCGGGCGCCTGGCCCCTGCGTCGTCAGGCGCAGGTGCTCCTTCAGCTCCGCGGGGTTGAAGTCCTTCAACTCGTCGGGGGCTTCATGCCCAGCCGAAGGGGAGGGGGCTAGCCTGAAATTCGCCCGTTGCCTCCCGAGGTGGATCCTTGTCGACTACCCCTGCATTCCTGGCCTCTTCAAAGTGCGGCGCCCCCTCCTTCGACGCGCCAGCGGTAGGGGTCTCCTGCCCAGAAGCGAGGCTGGCCGCCTCGCATTCGTCAGCCTTCTCGCCTTGACCTGCTGGTCGTCATTCTCTTGCCCGTAGATGCAGGCCCATCCCCGCGCCTCCCCCGTCGGCGCCTTGAAACCAGCGCTGAAAAGTGGACGCGCGCCGAGGTCGCGCCTCGAGCTTATAGTCTCTGGGCGGCGCGAAGTCGCCCATGTCCGCCTCCGACGTCTTCGAGAAGCTCGCGCAGTTGAGGCAGTAGTTTGGGAGGTGGATGTGGTCGCGCCCCCCGCGCTGGAAGGCGGCGCAGCCGTGGGCGATGGCGTTGGCGATGTTGGTCGGGAACTTGATAGAGCGGAACAATGGCCTCGAGTCCTGCCCCACCGACCGAAGGCCGCGAAACGCATCCTTCCCCGGCAAGCCCGGACAGAGGGCGACGCTGAAGTGGCCGCAGCCCGCGGCCACGAACACCAGCTGCTCCTCCGCCCAGCTGGCGCTGGCCAGCGCGCCCTTGGCTTCTCCTCCTGCCTCCTCCGCGCGCGCGTTGGCTCGCCCCAGCTCTCGGACGAGTCTCT